ACCCGGCCTTACTTTATCCGCCATCATGTTCAGGAAGGCGTCGAACACTTTGTCGGCGACGGCGATCACACACTGCATCATTCCTGAAACGAGAAGGAGGGTCCCCGCGGGTCAGGTGCCGCGGCAGTGAGGGGCCGGCCCTGGCGACCTCTGCGTTTTCTTTTAAGCGGTTTTAGGCTAGCATGGCATTGCAGAGACAGCGCAGGGTCCCCCTGGACCCCTCACCCGGCTTCCCGAGAGCAAGCTCTGCTATCACCGGGCTACGTGTGTCGACTACAAGACGGACTCTCAGGGACTGGAGTTCTGGAAGGAAGGTCTCATGCCCCTTCCTCCATTTTTAAATCTATTCGATAATCTAGTCAACGTGGGCTCGTGACTCTTTCTTTTATTCGCTGGGTGATAACCTAAGAATATGGTAGTTTAGTTGCTCAAACTGTTCCAGCTCTGGCCACTGGGAGCCCTTTCAGGTCCGTCCTTTGTCCTCACACTCATCTTATGCCTTTTCTTTCCTCTCTTTCTTTCTTTTCTTTTAGAGGTTTTTGGTATAGGGTGCATGTGCTCACCAGAAAGAGAGAGACAGAGAGACAGAAAGCGAGAAATCACCTACCAGGGGGGATGGCCACACCGCAATCCCTTCTCCTCCATTCTCCTCTCGGGATCATTGGCACGCACACATGCACACACACCCGGTCATTGGCACGCACGCACACGCGCCCGGCGTTGTGTTAAGTCACTAGGTCCGGGACGTGAACCGCGGCCGACTACATGGTAGTCCAGCGACATAGCCATTACGCTAACTGCTGATCCCTGATCTATGGATAATCTTACTGGGAGGTTAGTGACACCTGCTAAATTCTTAAGTCCCTTAGGGCATGGTGGCTTCAACTTTTTTTTTTCTTTTTTAGGAGATACTTTTGTTACAGATTTTTGTGTACTCCTCAGAGAGACAGAAAGTGAGAAATCAACCCCCCAGGGGGAATGGTCATGCTGCAATCCCTTCTCCTCCATTCTCCTCTCAGGATCTTGGGCATGCATACCCACGTGCCTGGCGTGAGTTTAAGCCACCGGGTCTGGGACTCAAACCACGGTCAACCACATGGGAGTCCAGCGACATAGCCATTACGCCAACTGCTGGTCCATAACTTTTTATTTTGGGAGGATTTTTGCTATAGGGTACGTGTGCTCGCCAGAAAGACAGAGACAGAGAGACAGAAAGTGAGAAATCAACCCCCCAGGGGAACTGGCCACGCCACAATCCCTTCTCCTCTTGGGATTTTGGGCATGCATACACTCATGCCCGGCATGAGTTTAAGTCACCGGGTCTGGGACTCGAACCACAATCAACTACATGGGAGTCCAGCGACATAGCCATTACACTAACTGCTGGTCCCCTCCCTAACTTTTTTGTTGTTGTTTTTATTTTATTTATTTATTTATTTTTGTAGAGGTTTTTGCTATAGGGTGCGCGCACTCGCCAGACAGAGAGAGACAGAGAGACAGAAAGCGAGAAATCACCCCCCAGGGGGGATGGCCACACCGCAATCCTGTCTCCTCCATTCTCCTCTCAGAATCTTGGGCACACATGCACACATGCCCGGCAGTGTATACACGAAGTTTTGAGACTGCCTGAGAGGTGAAACAAATAAGCAAGCAGTTTATTACACTACTTCTGGGACCAGCAGGTGGCGTGGTGGTTAGGGCACTGGGCACTCCCACATGGCCGACCAGGGTTCAAGTCCTGAATCTGGTGGCTTGCTTTCTCACTTCCTCCTTCTCTCTCTCTCACCCGCTGTCTCTCTCTGGTCAAACTAAAAATAAATAAATAAATAAAATGAATGAATAAATAAAATAAAATAATAATAAAAAAAAGAAAACAAAAAAGAAATACTTTATTACAATACT